TAAGTGTTGGGTGACCATATTGTAAATTAATATTAAAAACTAAAAGCTGCAAAAAATATATTTTCAAACTGTTTATTGTCAAATTTAGTCTAATAATTGAAAATATGGATGAAATATGAAACAAATAAAATAAAACACATACAAAGCAGAACACAGCTAAATGTATCAAAAGTCAAAAATGTAATATTAGAATTTTCTGAGACAATGAATTTTGGTTTTTCGTAGTAAGAGGTTTTTATTTAACAGAGTTTTTGGACCAAAAAAATCTCAATATATCGCCTTYTTTACAGTATCGCAATATATCTGGATATATCYTATRGTGACCCCTTTGTRATGATATGTATCGTATCGCCAAGTTCTTGCCAATACACAGCCCTAATCCATACACCCCTACTTTTAACGACTGAAGGAAAAAAATTGAATATTACACAGTTCATGTTACCTACAGGCTTTCAGAAGTGTCACTGAAGAACTGATTGATTAAAACTCAAAGGAAACGGGTTGAAGCTTCCCAGATGTGGCAAGTTTCAGTTTTTCTTCTCCTTCTCCTTTCCCAAAAGTAAAGCAGACTTTCAGCTCTTCTCAAACTGGGACATCTTCGTAAAAGAGTCGAGTGAAACAATCCAGAGCGTCTGAAACGGGCCTGCAGCTCGTTTATCCGACCGATCGGATCAGAGACCCGCCTGGGATGTCACAGAYGAGCCGTAAACGCCGATCAGAGTGGCAATCAGAAACAGATTTTCAGCTCTGATGGAGCAAAGCAAAAATAAAAAAATAAAKGCAGATAGAAAAATTTACKGCGCCTGCTCCTTTCYCGTAAACATTGTTACCTTGGCAACAACCTCCTCCTCGGCATCCACATCTGGAATCCATCACCGGCGTGTTCGTGCTCGCTGTCTCTGCGSCGTGGTGATCTCATGTTCAGCTGGGTGCAGTCAGGAGGCTCGGGGTCAAAACTGAAATGAAAYATGAGTTCATGTTAGATTCAGCTGGTCGTTCCACGGGATAAAGGAGGCATTTTTCATTTTGTCAAGTTACAAAAATGATTTTAAAAAACTTTATGTCCTTCAGTAGAACAGAGGAGTTAAATTTTTTTCATTTTTTAATTTAGCCTTAAACTGAGGTTCTTGTGTTTTTTGTTAACATCTTGTGTCCAACTACCAATAATACTTGGTTTGTTTTATTTTTCTTTCTTTTAAATTTGAAAAAGCATCTGCTTTAGAATTAACTGTATAAAAATAATTGTGGGAACAAACGATTTTTCTACAATAAAGCAAAATGTTTTGTAATTAAATAAACTGTGATCTGCTAACGAAGAAAAATCTGTCAGCGAGAAGCTGTGTTGGGATATAAATAGAAACGGGACGCCTCCTTGGGCTGCAGGCTGGCAGGGATGATGATGATGATGCACACACTGCCTGCGTCACACAGAAGGCTCGCCAACACGGGGGGTACTTCCTGTCACACCTCCGCGCTGCGTGGCTGAATCCTAGGTTTTGCGGGACCTGCAAAACAAAAACAACAGGATTGTTTGCAGAAACGTTGACCTAACTTGCTTAATGAAGTGCAGTCAGTGAAAACTTTCTCTCTCTCTGTGTGTGTGTGTGTGTGTGTGTGTGTGTGTGTGTGTGTGTGTGTG